TAAAGGTTGCTAAAGCCCTAGTCCAGGAAACTCCCAGGGCCTGTCTGGACTGCATGCCCCTGGGTTCTGAGGCCTCTGCATTGCGTTAGGACAAGCTGAGCAGATCAGCTCTTTGGCTGGAGATTAACACAATATAGTTTAACTTCCTCTTTTTTTTTTTTTTTTTTCTTAACTGGAAGAATTTTCAGAAATAGTTCTGGGTTAAACATACTGACCTTTTGCCTGCAACCCATGCACTAAATCTACATAGCTCTTTGACTTCCGAAGGGAACTCCACCGGCCTCCCTCTCAGGAGTGATGCTCCCATCAGCAGACTCAGGGCACAGGCAGAGGGGTGACACACCTTGCCCCAGGTCTCACAGTCATTAAAGATGCAGCTCAGGCAGCAGGTCCCCCAGGCCATACTGACCACCAGAGTGTGTCAGGTACAGAGCTCTGGTCATGTGAGTAGTGTACTCTTTGAAGGGAAGAAAGAATGACATGTGGCAAAACTGTAGCTGGGGCTGTGTGTGGCAGGATGCCCAGGTGCTGGGGCATGGGGCGGGGGGGGAGGAGGGGATGCTTCATTCATGGGGTGGGCGCAGGCGCAGGATGAAGGCATTGGCCTCCCAGAGAACGAGCTGATGAAGCTACATCTTGAAAGACGAGTGGGAATCTGCAGGTGGGTTTGTGGAGGGTGCAGCAAGAGCTCTTTAAGCAGGAGCCGCAGCATGGAGGAAAGGCTGCAGGCATAAGCCAGGAGAGGGTTCCAGGAACGGCAGTAATTCCTGAGGCCAGAGAAGATGTTCTGAGGAGCGGGGCGAGGAGGCCAGAAGTTCAGAGTGTAACTCGTGCAGGATCTTGGATGTCATGCAAAGGAATATGTGCTTTATCCTGAAGGCAGAGGGAGCCTTGGAAAGAGCAAATCACCCAATGAACTGGTGCCTGGCAGGAAGACTTTGATGCAGTGTTGAAGTGTACCGGGAGAGACGGGCAGGAGACAACAGCCACCCCGGCTGAAGGGGTTGCATCTGAACTAAGTGGACCTGGGCTTCGGAGGACTCTCTGGGGAGCTGGTAGAGATGAGCCACTACAGCAGGCCAGAGATTTGGTGGTGGGGGTTGGGCGCTGTAGTTGGAATAAATTTCCTCCCAAGGCCCTTGTGAAAGCCTTGATCCCCAGCTTCTGGCACTGCTGGGAGTGGCAGAAGCTCTAGGAGGTGGAGCCTGCAGAAGTTAGGTCATTGGGGGTGTGCCTTTGGAGGGCATATTGGGACCCTGATTCTTTCTTTTCCTCTCTCCCTTTGCTTCTCAGCTGTTGCGAGGTGAACAGGCTTCCTCTGTCATGTGCTCCTGCCATGATGCACTCTGCCTCCACAGGTCCAAAGCTTCAGGTCCAAAACCACAGGACCAAGTGACCATGGACTGAAACCCCTGAAACTGTGAGCCTAAACAAACCTTTCCTCTTTTTAGGTTAATCCTCTCAGTTATTTTGTCACAGTAATGGAAAGTAATGGGGGATGACACCTAGACAGAGAGATTATATTCCCAAAGATATAGAGACTTGAGAGGACATCACCGTGTTTGAGTAATTGTCTCACACAGTAGGCTGTGTGAAGGGGATGAAGTTGGAGAGCAAGAGTTAGGTGGACACCTGTATCATTGAGTTTTAATAGTAAACTCTTATGGGTGGTTTTGCTTTGCGGGGTTTTAATTACTTATGATCAGCTATTCTGAAAGCATTAAATTGAAAATTCCAGAAATAAGCAAGTCATAAGTTTTCAATTGTGTACCACTGAAATGTGCATGCTAGTACAAGAAGAAATCTACCGCCATCCCACTCTGTCCATCCCAGGAAGTGAAGCATCCTCCATCCAGTATATCCCCCACTGTATATATGTCTGACTTTAGTTACTAAGTAGCTAGAGGAAAAAACATAGTGTCCATAGGGTTTGGTACTATCCAAGATTTCAGGCATCCACTGGGGGTCTTGGACTCTATCCCCCACTGATTAGGGATCACTAGTATATTAGCAAACACATGGTCGACTGGATTATTGTTTCCAAATATTCATTCCCTGCCAATAGGCAAAGTATACATCTCTATCGAGTTGACTTTGGATCTGGTTATATGACTGACTATGACCAGCAGAAAGTGGGAAATGGCAGAATGGAAGCTTTAAGAGGTATCATATCATCTCTTTCTTATTCCAGCTTTCACCATAAAACAATATTTACCAGACAGAAGCATCTCCCTCAGCTTGGGCTCCAGAATGAGAAGCCACTTGGAGCAAATCTTTTATCTCTCTGGCACCTAGAGCAAAGCCACAAAACCATGCCCTACAATTGTTCTGCAGCTAATGCCTTATGTAAATAATAAATAAACAGCTCAGAAGCTAAGCTTGGGGTTGTTTGTTTTGCAGCATGATCGCATCAAAAGCTAAATGATACATGAATGAGAAGTACACAATATAAAAATCCACACATGCCATGACAAGGAGTTGTGAGCTGTGGGGAATCAACAAAGAATGTTCTCATTGGTGAGTCTTTGCATCTTACGCACAACCGGTTTCACAGAAGGAGACAATCCATTCTGTTTCAAAGTCATCTCTCCCCATTGCCTCCAGCTCCTCCTAGCACCTGGTTTTATCCACCAGCCCTTCCCTCTCCTGGACTGAATCCTTTCCCTGAACCTATTCTTCACCGGTCTTTTCCATTTTAAAAATCCTTTCCTTTACCCTATCTCCCTACAGCTCCCTACAGTTAAGTCTCTCTCCTGACCTTCTCAAATAAACTTCTTAAAAGAATTGACTGCACTGTCTCCATATCTTACCTTCTCACCTATCAGCCATCTAGCTTGCTAGTGCTTCACCAAACCAGAACTGCTCCTAATCTCCTTATTGCCCAATCCAACTTCCAGGCTTTACTTGCCTGGACTGCTTTCCATCAATTGGCGTGGAACTCAGTTCATTATCATCCCCCACCTTAATTGCTCAGCTTCTGAGCATGCATCAGTGATCCATGATAGAAAGCCACCGTGAGATTAATGAATTCTTTCCTGGTCTTGCTGAGTTTGCAGAGCCTTGCGACATACAAGAAGAAATACTCCAGGGGCAGTTAAACATGGATTGGGAGCCCAATATGTGAGGTGAGATGAATGCTGCAGAAGTCGCATCTAAAACTATGAACATTCCTCAACTTGTCCAGTTTGTAGAATATGTAAAGTACCAAGTCTGTAAATCCCCACTGATATACAGAGACCTCTCCGGAGCCCAGAAATCCCTATTCCTGTGGTCACCGTGCAACCACCACTTGGTTCCTTCTCTGCTAAATCATGGTGCACAGTGGCTCTCCCATCACCATCTCATATTTCACCCCTGCTCATTCTGTCTTCTCCAAAAATTAAAATTTGATTAGAAAAACAGAAAGTAAAAATCACCAACCAGTTCATCAAAATAGCTAAAATCAAAAAGACCATCAACACCAAATACTGTCGAGAAAAACATTCCTAGTTGTCACATATTGCAGGTGTCCCAGCAACTCCACTCCCAGACTTGCACAAGAATGAACACATAATAGCGTCAAACTGGAAATAAGCAAGATACTCATTAGCAGAAGAGACAAACTGAGGTATATCCACACCTCGGAATACAATTGAGCATTAACAAAGTGCAGTTTGTTTCACATACAAAACATTACACCCAGTGATGTGATTTGAGACCTGAAAGAGTACATTCCAACAACAGGCAAAATTAATCAGTAATAAAATCAGAAAATGGGGGCCTCACAGGGTAGAAGAAAAATTAACTGGAAATAAGAATTTTCTAGACTGACGCAGATAAATATTTATGTCTCATTTGGGGCGGCTACACAGATGGAAACAACTTCAAAACTCATGGAACAAAACTCTTCAGATTGGTGGATTTTAGCATATGTAAATTATACTTTAGTTAAAAATTTAAAAATAAGCATCTATAAACAATCACCAAAATAAAAAGAAAGCTCAGGGCAGAAAACATTCATATTCAAACAAAATTCTATTTCTGCTGTGAATGCACCTGTATAAATGCCTAGTTAATACATTTCCCCGTTCAGCCATTGTCCCCCACCCCTACCCTGATCTGGGTGACATCTGTCCCTTAGCCATTTTATAGTCATCCTGAGAGATGCTGAAATGGAAGAACTCAAGCCTTAGAGTCAGGCGGAAATGTATTCAAATCCCAGCTGCGATTTAATAGCTGAGGGGCCGATAGTGAGTTACTGGCTCTCTGTTGAATCTTCATCTCCTCTACTATAAACCGGTTAGTGGTGCCCAGCACCCCCTGTTAGGCTGGGAAACCTGTGAGACCAACCCACATTTTAAAGTCCCACTAAAGGCCTGGAAGTACAGAGATCGAGAGTCATTTCTTCTCTCAGAAGGTTAGGAAGGCAGCCCAGGAGCCCTGGAGTTTAAATATAGGTGAGTTGGTGCCAAGAGCTGGGGGAAGCAGCTGCCAGAATCACCTCGGCCAGGGAAGGCCAGTCCTGGCCTAGGACTCCGAAGACAGGTTTCCCAGCAAGGTTCACCCACTGGAAGCCCTTCCCCTAATTGCTTTGCAGACCTTTGACCTCAGACCCTTGATCTCCACATAAAATGACCAGAGAAGAAGGTATAAGGACACCTTCCCAAACACCCTCTGGAACTCACCATAAAGAAGAAGAGATAAAGGTGGACCTGAACTGGTTTTGTCAGAAATGAGAATGGGGGTGGGGTGGGGCAGAGCCCTGCCTTCCAGGTTCCCCTCCCCCAGGCTGATGCTAGGCCTTCTGGGACACAATTTGAAATCTCTTGGAGCAGGAAATCCCTAGGGAGTCTTTCAGCTCTGCCTTATTCAGCCATTGAACATCTGTTACCTGTAACAGGGATAACTTAGACCTGCCTCCTGCCCCATCTGGTAAAGAGAGGCAAGGTACTTCCCCCCAAGAAGGTAGAAAAAATGCTTAGTATAGCCAGAAAAGCAGAGAAGTTAATCACGTCCTTTACCTCAGTCCCTTTCAGGTCCTGGTCTCTGGCAATACACTTTGCATTTTGCTTCCTGGGAACAAGGTCTCCAGCATAATCTATTTCTCAGTGGAGGAACCTGCGGGTCTGCCTGGGAAATCGTCTGCCTGCAAAAAGCAGCAAGGCCAGGCCTCCACCCAGCATCTCCTGTCTCCTGAGACACACCTATTCCCAGGTACAATGAAGGAGGCAGCCAGGCCTGCTCAGGAGCCAGAAGGAGTGGGCGCAATCAGCAAGCAAAGCCACAAAGCCTGGGTCTCAGTTCCTTCCTGGGGGGAGGAGCAGCACTGACACTCTCTGCCCCGCCCCCACCCACCAGAGGGAAAATCGGAGAATCTCAAGTTGCTCTGCTTTCTCTCTCTGCGCGCTAACATTTTCCCCCCTCTACTGTTTCTTGGATGCTTTTCAAGAGTTTGTGCAATCATTCTGTTTAGCTGTTTTCCTGCCATTTCCAAAAGCGGGGTGGTGTCCTTCTTGAGTGGGAACGAGGTAGTTTGAAAAGTTGAAGGGACCCTTTGCCTCCCATCACCCCCAACCCCTCCCCGCACCAAGCACTTTGGCTGCCCAAGTTATATAGTGTCCGAAACTTTCCGAAGGCTGGGTTTGGGTTTGGCCCTTGGCTCTGCGAAACCCTGCTCTCCGGGTTGAGGCACCGCTCATTTTACGCCCACCTCAGCTCCCTTTTCCCAGAGGTACCCCCTTCCCATCGTGTCTCGGGCAAGAACCAGTCTCTGTCCTGCCAGGACAGACACCTCCTGCCTTTCAGGACTTCATGGGTGGGTCATAACCTGTGCTCCCCGCGACCCCCCTCTCGTGCCATCCCTACCCTACGAACTCCAGGAAGGGCAGACCTGGGTCCTCAGTCTTGCAGGTCGTAATCTCCAAGGCTGGACAGAGGCAGAGACAGGCACAGTCTGGCGACAGACCGGATCAGTTCTGGGCACCAGAGCAAACCACCAGAACAAAAGCTAGGGCCAGAGGCAGGGCAGGCACCGGGCAGGGCTGGAGCGGCGGCCCGCCC